CATGGTAAAAAGAGATATTTTTGAATTTCAAGAAAAACATTGTCAATATTTGCGTGCTTATTTTGAAATAATGGATTGTAGAGTTGCTATTACCACTGATATGGGTCGTAGTCCTAATGGTTTTGATTATTTAACTGTTACTGCGCATTGGACTGATTATAATTGGAATTTACAAAAAAGAATTATTGGTTATAAAATTTGTCAAAAGAAAAAAACTGGAATGTATATTGCTACTACTGTGTTGGAAATTTTAGATTTTTTCGGTCTTTGTGATAAAGTCATTAGTATTACTTTAGATAATGCTTCTGCTAATTTAAATGCTATTAATATGCTAGAACCTAGACTTTGTCCTATTAGTAAATATGCTTTTCATGTTAGATGTGCTGCGCATTTATTAAATTTGGTTGTTAGTGACGGTGTGAAATTATTTGAAAATAGTTGTGATAAGGTTGATAATGCCTGTTTTTATATTTTTCATATGAATAGTAGTAGTAGAATTAATCAATTTAAAGAGCTTTGTAATGCATGTAAACTTCCGTTTAGAAAAGTTCCGAAGCATGTAAAAACTAGATGCTCACTAGGTGTTGACACAGTAGTCAATACATCTCCTGAATTAGTATCATCATATGCTGGCAATTTTGAGAAAAACTAAAAAAAAATAGCTAGATGAGGTGAGACACCAATATTAGTCTAAGTTTTATTTAGAGGAATAAAAGGTAATGTGCTTTCATAAAAACAACATGTTTGGACACATACACTCTCCTTGTTAACGGATGATAACATCTGTAAACCTGTGCAATCTGTTGTATCCTATGAACACATAAGGGTAGGTCTTCAAATTAAACTTGGTACTACCCTTGATATACGTGAAGCACCTACAACTAAACACCTTTAAGATGTTTTAATCATGTTGCTCACCATATAACCTAAAAAATGGAGTAACCATATTTAAGACTGAGGACGACAGTCTATTAATGAGAAATAGTGCAGTGAGAAAGTCCCCAACTCATAGAAACAAAGGAAGATTAGCATGTAATACAAGAGTTAATACAATCTCATCAATATGCGTTTGTCCAAGCCTCTGGGATCTGCTGTAAGCCCCCATGATGTGGAAAAGGGAGGATATTAGGGGAAGCAGTGAGTGGAGATCCCCTTGCAGAGAGCCGAATGAGGGGAGACCCTTTCTTTCTGAGACTCCATTTTTTTCAGGTGTGTTAGGACATGAAATGTGCCTAATAGTACCACAATTTTCTAGATGTTTAATGAAGTCTATTTTGATTAATTCACCATCTTCATCACACTGGAGCATATTAATCTCTTTAGAGAACTGTTTTTACACAATTTTTTGAAATTTAACAAATACTTCAAAAAATTCAGACTTCTTTTTCATTGGATAAAGCTACGTATACCTTGTGTAATCATCTACAAACACTACATGATTATATTTCATATGCTGAGAATATTCAACAGGAGAAGGACCCCACAAATCAGAATGTGTTTTCGATAAAGATTCCTTCTCAATTTTATTCCTCAAGTCAAGTAGAAGTTTAAAAGTTTTGTCCAACTGAACTAGAACAGAAAATATGCATTTTATTCCAACTATTAACATTAATGCAACTACAAGTACTCAAAAATTTTAACATCTTGAAACTAGGATGTCCTAATATATTATGCCATATGATGCTTGATGTCTTCCAATCTTGTGTAGGAGTCAAAGCATAGAGTTCACTTCTCTTAGATCCCTAGGTTAGTAGTGTCCTTGTCTTCTTGTCCTTTACAACAATGTTAGTTTCATCAAATTCAAGAGTGCAACAATTATCCTTAGCAATTTTACAAACTGAGAGTAGATTCTCAGCAATCTTAGGAACTACACAGACCTCTATTTATTTTAGAGATGATATTGGTGTATTCCCATCATGTGTTATGTCTAATTGTGATCCATTCCAACAAAAAAATTATAAAATCCACTGTAGTGTTTAAATTAGATAGAATACATGAGTTATATTTCATATGACTACTGGCTCTTGAGTCTATATACAAAGTATCATATGTAGATGATGTACTATGAAGATTGATAGCAGCCAATGCATGTGGTAGTTCATCTACATATTGACAAGAGTAGTCCTATCTGTAAAAGCACTTAAGAGTAGTATGATTATTCCTACCACAAATTTTAAATGACTCGGTAGTATTCCTATCCTTATTTCTACTTTGAAAGCTTTGATTATTCTCAATATTTGATCCTTGTCCAAGAGGTTTGAGATCCCTTCCTTTGGAGTTGAAGTTGTTGTTTCCACTTCTCTAAGAGTAGTTTCCTCTTCCCCTTCACCTTTGGGAAAAGAATGCCATGTTAAGGTTCTGTAGTAGCAATTCTTCTTCATCCTCTTTCATATCAAGAATCCTAAGAGAATTAACAAATTGCGTAAGAGTGGAATATGGTGCATTACCTAGCATGAAAGTCCTTAAGGTCTTGTACTTGAGACCTAAACCTCTAGAAAAAATGATTACTTTTCTATCTTAATCCACAGGATTGTGATACCTTTGAATTTCTTAATGTAATCATCAATTTTCATGGTTCCTAGCCTAACACTTTGCAATTATTGTTTAAGCTAAAACACCTTATCTTTTGGTGCTTGAAGATAGGCTTTTTTAAGCATTCTCACATCTCCTTGGCAGTTGAGAAACCCACAATAAAGTACATGCCTTCTTCTATCAAGGTTCTTGAGATCCACTTCCTTAGTGGTACATTTTTCACCTCCGGTCATCAACACTGTCACTATATTATGCATCATCCTCAACACTTATAGCCACGACTTTCTCAACAGCCTTTCCAGTAGAATGACCACTCACAATTGGTATATTCTCCTTGATGATATAAGTTAATCTTATCACATAAATCAACTACATCATTTGTGTCCTCCATATGAGATAGTTTGTTAGCTCAAGTTTAATGGAACAAGAGACAATTAGGTGGTGAAAGGAAGAAGTGGACAGAGTATTAGTAGAGGGATCCATATCAGCTAGACGTGTGATTATTTTGAATTCAATACTTAGACAGCGGAAGATCTTAATCCTCTTATACCATGTAGAATTCTCAACAATAATTGAGAGAAATCAAGATATGTATTGATGGTTAATCATTTAAGTAGAGGTTGATATAGAGTTGTAGATTTGTAGAGTCCT